TTTCTTAAAAGAAATTGTAATGATTCATATAGTAATAAATAAGAAATAATATCACTGCTCGAAAGAAAACTTAATGTCCTTTATATAACCCTGAAGACCCTAGAATACCCAGAAACATTTTCGGCTTCCCAGGAAGAATACGGTGCAAGTGGACGATCAAGGGGTCAAATACTAACAAGCTGACAAGATCTGTCACTGTCTGTAACCTGGTACACATTCCGAAATAGGCAACGTGAGGAACATTCGTGTAGATTGCGTTTCCCAGGGATACTCCAGACGGGGTTTGAACCCACGATGCTTCGGTTGTGAACCCAAAAGCCAAACCACTAGACCACCGAAGCCATATTAAGGAGTATGTCCTGTGCAAATCACAGTCTAAGGCGCCAGGTGATTTAGCTGCAGCCGTGAAAACTGACGTCATCATATTAAATTATTATCTTCAGGAATCTTACCTCTGACATAGGTACAATGTAAAAGCTTTGTTGTAATTCCAATGTCTATTTCTTCTAATGGGATTATCCCTGCTGTTTAGACGTTTTAATTCAAGCCCAAAATATTGGAAATGTGTTTTCTCACAGTTTCCGAATCTGTAGTATCGGTTGCATGTACTCAAGAAATAGTTTACTAAAGGCCGCTACACATGTACGTTTCAATGTACAGGAATATATTAATCAGGCGCCATAGCACTTCTTTGTTTCTTTTTCTTAATGCAGCGTGTACTTCTTTCAGAATTAGTAATAGTCCTTACCCTTTTTCTATATTTCTTCCTTTCTCTCTTACCGGTTTTTCTCTTCCATTATGCTTAAAGATTTCTTCTATGTATTCTGGCCACCTGTTTAGTTAAAAACATCACCTTTGTTTACTAAAATATCTCCCCCTTACGCATCTTATGCATTCTGTTCTGGGACATCCTTTTCCCTTCTGCTTACTTTTTTATTTTTGGAATGCAGGTACATCAATTCGCTGTTTTGTTTTGATTGTTCTCTATTTCTTGACTCTGATCACATATAGATCTATCTGTGATTATTGTGCTTATTTACATTGTTTCTTTATGTTCTTTGTTTAATGTGTATAAATTTCCTTCCACATTTCGCTACCTCAGAATCACCAAGTTCTATCTGACATTTTTGGGCCTTTTCGAGTTACTAGGGCCATGACATCAAAAACCAAATGTTCAATCGTAAGATTATTCGGAGACATTATAAAGATATTCAAAGAACTGCATTGGAAAAGGCTCAATATGATGTGAAACTCAAAATCTTTGACGTCAAATTGCTCAAAACTAGATACTGAGCAGATAGAACTTTGTAATTCAGAGGTAGCGATTTGACTTTCCCTGCTACCTCTCTTCCAGAAGTTTAAAAATAAGGTGCCCAGGGTCATCTATTTTCTCTGTCGTCTCTCTGCTGTTTAGACGTTAATTTAAGCCCAAAATATTGAAAACATGTTTTCTCACAGTTTCCGAATCTGTAGTGTCGGTTGCATGTGCTCAAGAAATAGTTTACTAAAGGCCGCTACACATGTACGTTCCAAACTGGCGGTTTTAACCGGAGTGGGAACCAACGTTGAAACCGACGCGCAAAACCGCCGTCCGACGGGTCGGTGCGTCATTCACTGCTACATAATTATAGTAAAAAGTTAAACAGGGAGGCCGAACCGGCGGTTTCAACATGTTAGGATTTTCTGACTACAGTTCAGCACGTTCCGTCGACGACAGCCTTTGTGTGACGTCACAGGCTTAGCCGGCTTATCTTTTCACTCCCAATATCTCCAAAATGATTTACAGCACACAAAATCTGATAAACATTTTTGAAACGAACAACCCAATTTTAAGGCAAGATCCGAGCATAATTTGTGGGGGGGGGTTCAATAATTAAATAGATTAAAAAGTCCCACATAACAATGCATTCACTGAAGGGGTTCAGTGCACTCCGCCATTTAAAAATTTGACTTGAGCTGCCGTTAAACCCTCTCGTGATGTGAATGACGCGCCGACCCCTCGAACGAACGGCGGTTTTGTGCGGCGGATACAACGCCCGTTCCCACTCCGGTTAAAACTGCAAGATTGGAACGTACATGTCCTTGTGTAGCGGTCTTTACTCTGTAATTAGAAATGCTATAATAGTGGTTTTATGGTATTTCTGAGAAGACAATTAGACATAATATAAAAATTATAACCAATAACAATGTAAAAAATGAGCCAGCGACGATGTTTTGTACAAGCAGATAGGTTGAGGTAGTCACTGGTAGTGGTAGTGACGTGACGAGTGGGTGAGAGGGCGCCACTGGCAACTCCTTTTTTTCCTCTTTATTGTGCGTGTGCACGCGACACGATTTTCCACGTCACGGACGACACTATTCCCAATTCCCGGAGAACATGTTTCAAATTGTTTGTCCGCCCGTTTCAAGGGAGTTAATCTCATCAACTAATCCCCTTCAGAATTACTTCTCTTTACCCACCAGTTGTCTTTTACTTTTAATAGCTATGATGCGATATCACAAGAAAGTAAACAGTCGTACGTGCCTTGTTGTGCTTTGTATTAAATCGAAAATTTGAAAGAAGAACAACTCATCTTTGCAATCCCAAAGAGACCAGCCATCTGTGGCTACTGGGTTTCATTCAAAAATAGCTCAATAATTTTTCATCGTCTTCGGACAATTGCGGGCAGATATTAGATATATAAAAAGAAGTAATTCACGGAGAGTCTCACACTGTCTCAATATCAGGAGAATTCCAAATTTTTTACCGCGTTGGGAAGCATGCAAGTTCGTCATAGATTTCTAGTCCCAGTTTGTCACAGGCCTCGACTGTGCCCTGCACGATGTAAGTTATCACTGACACTCTCAAAAAGAGTAAATTAATAATTGATTGATTGATTGGATGAATTTTATTTTATTTTTCAATTGTTTTTAACGAAAAAACATTCATTGTTGGGATTTTATAGAGTAATTTAAATTTGCTTTGATTTGCATACAAAAAGGATGAAATATTGAACAACACATTATAAGCTGAATTGACATTTTAGAGGGCCTATGACAATTTGAAGGTGGAGAATTAAAAAAACTTTAGTTACGACTACATTGTTAGAGTGATGTAATTATGACTGTCATCAATACCCAAATACTTAAATGAAATTGTGACCAACTGGGCCTGTGACAAACTGGGCCTGTGACCAACTAGGCCTGAGACAAACTGGGCCTGGGACAAACTGGGCCTGAGACAAACTGGGCCTGAGACAAACTGGGCCTGAGACAAACTGGGCCTGGGACAAACTGGGCCTGGGACAAACTGGGCCTGGGACAAACTGGGCCTGGGACAAACTGGGCCTGAGACAAACTGGGCAGCCCCCGCGCGTTGTAATTCTGTCTCCTCCTCAACCATAACAAAAACAACAACTTCTTTCTCCTGGTACACGCCATGTCTGATGACAGAATGTCGTGGAAAGTGTCCGTTGTTAACGTGGTCGGTTTTTACCACAGACGACACGTACGATTTCAGTTGTCGTGTCATCTGTCCTTAACGTGATCTTACCCTTATTCCATCTTCAGTTGTTCTGCCTATCTTCCTTGCTCGTCTCAGTGTTCATTAATTAATGACTTGGTTGGAGGGCTCCACTGGTAGGTCCTACTACTTCATTGCTTTCCCTCTGTTGTTTCTGTCTATCTGTCTTGCTTCTTCCCAGCACTAACTGACCGTTACTAGTTTGATGTGCTTCTCTTCACTCAAACAAACAATGACTGGGAGAGCGTTGGTGTGCGGCTTGTAAATATCCCAAAACCCCTGCAGAAAGGACCTATAGACTCTAATTACATAAATATTTTCAAAGAAACTATGAAACATTTTACAATCGCTATAGTGCTTTACAAATTTGTTTTCTTTATTCTTGATAATATACTGCATATAATGTTAATATAATATATAATAATAGGCCAATGATATAATATATTACACAACCCAAGGTGTGATGTTAATGTACGTTGTTTCATTCTCAGACATGATTACTGTCACGAGTGTGACAAACATACAAAAGAAATAGAGAAAAAAAAATGACGAAAGTAAGGATTAGGAAAGTAAAAAGCAGTAGTTCCCTGTTGCAGTTTAGGCACAGTTATGAGCATGACATCGATGAATCAGTCCATTTACAATTCTACTGTGCGTAAGAACGGGTTAATATCCCCACCTTTGGGAATGGCCTAAAACTCTTCAGCCGGGTTGGGGGGGGGGGGGGGGGGCACGCGTTTTCCACTTGTACACTTTCTGAGAGCCTCACCTCTTGTCTGTACAAGTCAGTGACCAGGAAAAGACCAGGGCAATAATAATATTATACATTTTTAGAGCATCCGAGCAAAAAAATGGGAACAAGTCATTTTGAACCAGTGACTACAAACTTCATTTTGGACAAGTAATTACAAAGTTCCCTTGAGGCCAATAAAAGATGGGGTTCCTTTTGGACCAATTGTTTTCGCCGATTTCTTGCTTTAATTTTGGAATCCTTTTTTTGCGTTGCCTCTTCCATTCGCAAACGCAGCCTTTTGAAAAAAGATAACATTTGAGATTCTGAAGAGCACAGCAAGGCAGAATAAGGTGTTCTTAAAGTCAGGTGTGTTCAGCAGAATTAAACTTTATTCCATTCATTGAACAACATGTATTCGATGCTGATAATGAATGTAATCGTTCTTTCGCCATATTAGTACCTGGCGAAATAAATTTACCTGTTCAATTGATCCAAAAGGTATCGGGTATTATATTATAAACTGGTCAAAAAGTAATGAATAGCAAAACATGACCGCCATTGCCTGTTTCAGATGATGGTGATGATAACCTCTGGTGCTGCGTTCGAAGTTTGACATTCTACAGTTCCCCCCCCCCCCCCCCCCCCCACTTATTTCATCTTCGAGCTTTCTGCAAGGATGGTAATGATGAAGATGATGATGAAGATGATGATGATGATTATCTCCCTGGTGCATGTCCACATGAAAAGAGCAATACAAGAACGGTGTTAATTTATGTCAAATGTGTATTGTTGAATTAGTATGAAAGTTATCTTGAATGAATAATGCACGGAATAGTTTACAAGGTCTGCCACGAACTGTGTAAGTTTACATGTTTTAACACAGCTTGACACACATGAGTAATCTTCCCGACACGGAGCAATGTGACACAGCTTCACACACACACACACACACACACACACACACACACACACACACACACACACACACACACACACGCTCATGTACATCTACACAGCCTGACACGCGTGCAACACGAAAAAGCCGCTGTGGTTGTGCTGGCTGACCACTTTAAACCCCGCCTCCCCTGCCAATCTCGCGGCCTCAGCCCGCCCCCAACACGCCCCGTAGGCGGTAGAATCCTCACTCTGGTATGCCTGAGGCACACAGTTAAAGATGCTCACACCGTACAGAAGGGAACATCCGGGGACGTCTTTGTTGGCCGTGACGTCACCAGTTCCATCGATTTCCATGAAAGCAAAGTGGGACCCGGTCTTGAGAACTTTTCGACACCCTTTGAGTCCGCCCAGGGGGTTAGGGAGATCGTGAATGACGTCATTGATTAAGAGGAAGTCAAATTTGCCGGTGTAGGCGTCTGGGATGTCAAGAATGTCCAGTTGCACCATCTCAATGTTGCTCAGGTTGAGCTTTTTCACTTTATCCTGTAAAATCTGGACAGCTGATTGGACGTATTCGCTGCCTGGGGAGGTAATCAGAGAGTAATGAAATTAATTAATCATTAATTAAATTGTCGGCATTATGAATTACGCTTGGCGTTTTGTCTTGCCTGCTACAAGGCTCACAGATTTGAATTTCAGTATTTCCGTGTGTGTGTGTGGG